AGAACAAAATTATGGGATACAATTTTTCAATATTGTGATAAATGGGTACGCTAACTTTACGGACATGAAAATGTCAACACGTCAGTGTCTTTCAGTAACCACAATGAGAGACATGTGTGATGAAGGTGATGTCTCAACACCATTATATATTCAAACCATGAGAAGAGTGAAATGGAAGTTTGGGCAATGAATATGAAGTATCGTTAAAAGTGTATTATTGTAATCTACTGTATGAAGGTTCAAGATTTGGACGTACCTCCTTTTTCTTAAAAACTCAGTAGTAGTTAATAATTAATCCAGCTACAGATTTTAGATCAACATAATGCAATGGATAGAAGCCAATAATGGACAAACCACGATTGAAGTTTTTATGATGTTTCTACATCTGATGCTTGTTTAAACTATATTATTGCACAACATTCAATGTAAAGGAGGCACTGAAACTTCATCACAAATTACTTATTATATTGGTGAAGAATTTATTTAGGCAGGAACAACACATTCGGATTGTATCGAATTCTGAAAAAAATAGAATTTTCATTAAAAAAAATCTGCAAAAATATCGCAAAAATGTTTTATGAATTATTTATTATTTAATAATTCCATGTGTGAAATATTGTGCATTACTACTGGCCTGAAGCAGCAAACATTCTAATGAACATAGCTACATAAAACTGTTCTCCGAAAAGGACACGAAATTGCCTTAGAACAAAAAAATACTACCGTATTATAATGCAATAAATTAAATATTTTACCGAAATAACATCACGAATTCTGTAGTATCATATTGTAGTATATACGAACATCAGGGTTTTTCATACCAATAGTGTCAAAAAAAACTTAATCCATAACGCAACATGTGAATAGCAAATATTTAATGGCAAGCGGTTTATTCTTTGGAGGCTTGCTGTCACACGACGTGAGCTGTGTTGTAAGCAGTAGCGCACTGAAAAAGTGAGTACCCACATTCATTCAGTGGATTACCACAGTATCAGAATCGGCAGAATTACACATTCGAATGTTTGCAATTTTAGTGAAAAACGAAAATAGGTCGATTTTTTCGAGTTCCTAGGTATCTAACGAAACCGTAGACAGCTAGACGCATCTTTCTTTATATGTTTTCTCGAATTCTAAATTATTAATACATATCTGAATGATAATTATAATAATAACCTTAATCAATACAAAGGTTATTATTTTATAAACTGAATTATTAAACACGACTTGCTTGGAAATGAATTCAACACACTTGGAAACATCGGCGATCCACGAATTCTTTTGTTTCTTTCAGAAAAGTGATGAAGTTGATACTGGAATGGTATTTAATTAACAATTAATTGTGCAATTATTAATTATTTACATCAAAAACTACTTTGAAACAAAAAGTTGTTTTTGGCTCATCAAATAATACAACTTCAAAAGAATAAAAAATACATTTGGTAAAAATTAGATATTAGTAACATGTATATTTATTTGTCTACAATATACGAACCATAACACACAACACACGAGGACACATAGTCGCACAATCACACTGAAAATACATATTGAAAATTCAATATCTAGTTTTGCGAAATGCGATAAAAGAAAGAGTCCTGAGTTACATCTGTACATCACGCAGCGGGTCATAAACAGCAAGTCATCCACAGACATTGATAAATTTTATAATGCGGGTATGTTACATAATTAAGAAAAGTTTTGCATTTACAAACTCGTGATTTGTTTCTACAACGTCTGTCACCATCGCCACTGAGTGAATAAACTGAGATTTCGGAATAGCTCGACATGTCCGATCAACTTGCACGTTCCACCAAGTCTGCAGCCAATTTCACAGCACGTTTGTCCAGCTGATAAGAGCGCACCAGATCCTCACGGGCGTTGGCGAGGACGAGGGCGGGGGCGGGGGCTCGCGTGCGGGGAGGACGGCGGGGACGCATCATCGCCCAGCAGCTCCCACTCGTCGTCCTCCTCACGCGAGTGGATGCACCAGGACACGGGCCTGACGGGCCAGGCACCATCCATCGCGCCGGCGCC